TTATGAAATACCTGACCAACGATGGAAAAAGTCAGATACAGATCAGCAAGTAACTTGTTTGAATAGAGTAGGCAACTTCCACTCTAAATATCGTGGAAATAAAAGCAGTCTTAATATGCTAGATTCCGTACCGATGCACCACAAGGTTCCGACTGAGATCGAATACAGCTCACGTCAAACATCCAACCGAATAACACCGGTGCCGGTATAGTACCGATAATTCGGACCAAAATACCTTGTATTCCAAGTGCAAAAGATCTTTCGTTGTAATCCACGGTTCTACAAAGCAGGTGAAATTAGGAACTTGCCTCATCAATGCCGAAAACACTCACCTTAAAATCACCGATATGATTGGCACAGCAACGGCAAAAGTACAGAGTGACAGCGGGGCAAAGATGATGAGAAAACCGAGAAGTCCCTTGCAGTTTGACTGACATATTCCCTTTTTGACTTGACGCAATTGCAGACGTGCTGTTTCGACAACACATGAGCAGTTAGAATAGAACTATAGATAGTAACGTTACTCAAAAACGCAAAGGCGTTCTGTCAAAATAACCTTCTGCATAGGAGAATACGCTTCCGAGCACCCAGCAAAGCAAGGTGAGTAGTAAGAAAGCTGCCGTCCATCCGCATATTGAGCGCATATCGGGTGGAATTCAGCTTCACTACACAGACAGTGTGAGTTACAAGCACTTCGTAGCGTTGGCTCTACTTCCGAATAGTTACTACCCACAGACATATGACCGTCGCTAAAAACAAGATATCAGCGATAGGACTGGAAACTGAGGAAAAGCTAACCGATCAGGATAAGTTGTTTCGACTCCAACAAGTGGATCATGTGGGCAATAGATGAGATACATTGGAGTAAGTACCAGAGAAACGAATAGCAACCCCACAGATAATTTGAGTGTTGTAACGCAGTTCAGGCGGAAATACTGCACGATAAAGCCAGAAATCATGCACCCAACTCCCGCCATTGGCACCATAATACACCCTTGAAAACAATGAGATCTTGAAGCAAACTATGTTTAGTAAACACATAGACTAGACTGGATTTGTTAAATTCTAACAACTTTAAAGTAACAGCTGTGTCAACTAAAAATCGTAAATTCATGAAGCATGAAAACTACTAGATTGTTTGGATTATATATGTTGCACAGAAGTAAAAAGAGACCAGTGGGCTAGGCTCTTTTAAGATTTCCTATACAGTACAGAATCCAGTTCAGTTTACAACTGAAACTGCAAGCTCCAAAAAGTGATCACTCACCGATGAGAAAACTAGAGTTACTTGGCGGAACGCTGAACTGTCGCTCCAGATATTTTGACATGAATGAGGACGCACCCGTGATGATTAAGCCTAGATTGAAGAACGGTAAAAATGCACAACACAGATCACAGTGACTCACTGTCAATCGCCATGGCAAGTGTGATCAACATAAATGGAGCATTTGTAAGAATTCGATAGATGGCAATCGGTATATGTCGAACATCCAGCCAAAGCTTGTACCAGAGCGGACCTCTCCCACGATGTGCAATCGTTGTCA